CCTCGGAATCGGCAGTGGCTGCAGGAGGCCGATCGGACTCTGATGTTCGGCTTTGACTTGCTGACAGGTAAAACATCTCCTGACAAACTCGGTGACGTCCTTCTTCATGCCTCGCCACCAAAACGACCCTTTCAGGTCGTGATATATCTTCGTGCTCACGGGATGGGCTAGATAGGGTGCGGTATGAGCCTCTGACAAAATTTCCTTCCGCAACGCCTCGACCTTCGGGACCACGATCCTGCCTCTGAACTCTAGAGCACCATCGGCACCTAGCTGAAAACCCTCGACGCCACCAGCGCGAACCTTGGCATTCATGACACGAATGAACTCGTCAGAAGCCTGCTCTCGCCGGATTCTCTCTCTCAGCGTCGGCTGAAGCTGCATGGCACTGACACTGGCATCGACACTCCCCGAAACGGATGTGGAAAGTACATCGATCGCCTGAAGCTGCATCCGGGAAAACTCCTGAATCAACGGACTCTACTGAGTAATGACGTACGTCAAGTCACCCCTCACCTTTTGGCTTAGGGCGTCCGCTACGACGTTCGCCTTTCCCGGATGATACTGAATCGAGCAATCGTAAACCTTGACGAGCTCGAGCCAACGGCGCTGTCTCATATTAAGTTCCTTCTGCGTGAAGATGTACTGCAGGCTCTTATGATTTGTGAAAATCTCGCAATGACCGTCGTAAAGATAGTGTCGCTAAATCTTGAGAGCATGAACAACGGCGGCTAACTCCAAGTCGTGCGTCGGATAATTCTGCTCATGCGACTTAAGCTGACGTGAAGCATACGCGACGACCTGGCCATCCTGCATAAGGACGCATCCCAAGCCCTGTCTCGAAGCATCACTGAAGATGGTGAAACTCCAAGAAGGATCGGGAATAGTCAATACCGGTGCTGAAGTTAATCTCTTCTTGAGCTCCTGAAAGCTCGCCTCACAACGATCAGTCCACTCGAACCTCACACACTTCCTCGTCAGCTGGGATAGAGGGAGGGCGATCTTGGAAAAGCCCTCGATGAACCTGCGATAGTAACCAGCTAGATCGAGAAAACTGCGAACCTCGGACGGACTCCT